ATTTATCAATTTTTATCAATTTTTATCAATTCTTTATTAAGTTATAAATAAAAATATAATTGCAATTTTTTTCTTAATACACTATATATATACTTTTTTGTTTTAAATTACTATTATATATAAATTTTGATTTATTTATATTTTTTTAAACAAAAAAATTTTTTTCAAATATAAATATTGTCAAATAATTATAAAATCTTATAAATATTAATTATTTTAGATCTATAATAATATGATAATTTATTAAAGTTATAAATCACTAATTTAAATTTTATATTAAAATATAATAAATATAAATAAATAAATATATATATTTTATTAAATTAAATCTATTTTAGATTTCAAGAGTTTTTATAAATTTTTAAAAAATTTTACAAGAAAAATAATATACAGTAAATTGAAAAAATTTTAATAATTTTTTAAACTAATATATATAAGATATATAATTTAAAACTTTATTATCAAAATAGAATTTATTAACAATATATTTACGTTATCTTAATTTATTAATTAGTTATTTGAATTATAAATAAAAATAAAAATTTAATTTTTTCCAAATTTTTTTTTTGTGCTCGTGGCTTTGTTATTAGTTATAAGGATAATTATTTTTGAAGGTGACATAAATGCTAGATATGATTTTTTCGGGCCCAGCTTTTAAACAATACATATACAATATAAATTTTAGGATCACATCAGAAAATTTCCGGTTCACCTTCAAAAATAATTACCCAATAATTGTATCCAAAATATAATTTATTGAAAATTTCTCTTTTTGTCGATAGAAATCAATGCATTCTATTTATTTTTTAACACATGTCCAAAAAGCACAATCGTATAAGTATTTAAGCATTCCGTTAGAATTAGCAGTATATGTAGTTTGAATTGTTCTTTCAGTCTGTTGAAAAAAAAAGAAAATTAAACAAAGGAAATTAAAAAAACATGAGAAGACAAAATAGAAAATGAGGCTAACTTGAAATTGGAATCCCAAATCCTTCACTACTTTCTTCACTTGATCTAAACTTAATTCAATTGACATCTCGCCAGGAGAATTCTCGTAATGATAAAGCAATGGCCCTAAAAAGGAAAGTCGGATAAAAATTTTATGACAAGCTGCATAAAATAATTTAAGTTCATTATTATACCGATGTTAATCCACAGTCCACCTGGTCTCAGAATGCGATGAAATATTTCAATGTACTCTAAAATGTTCTTTGCAGTGTCAATGAAGAAGCAGGTCACTATGCAATCCCATTGTCCTATTTGAAACAAATAAATCTAAATATTATTAAAAAGTCAAACGATGTTTTTTTGTCGCACACATTATATCACACCAGTATGTTGATCCTCTCCGTATATTTCGATGAAATCACCAGCAACCATTGAGAAATTAGCGTCTGGAGGGACACTACTTGGCAATGCATCTGGAATATATACAGGCCGTAACTGATCATCGGAAGAGATAATATTTGAAAAGGAATGAATGAAGGGATATATTTCGTATTGATGGATTCTTTCGATCCTAGTGTGAGAATAAAAAAATCAACTCAAAAGAATCATAATGCAGCATAATATGATATGGATATACCTGTTTAAAATAAAATGCGACGCTAATAACTGGTGTGTCTTTACCCGTTAGCATTTATTTCAAAGGAGAAAATGAATAAACCTAAGATCGATCATACCATGTAGAACGAAAATTCATTTCCTAATAATGACATCCATATTATTTTTATTAATAAAATAACTCTCAGACAAATCAAAAATCCACATTTACCTTGACAGCTAAAACCTAATAATAATAATAATAATATCATTCATGAGCAACAATAGTTGATGATATAAATATTATTTGAAATAGTAAAGTGAGTACCCTGTGTAACAATATCGAAAGCCAACCGACCCAACCCGGCTCCAGGAACTAACACCTTAATAGATGGCCTATGTTCAATTAATTTTAATTAGAATTTGAAAACAAATTAGTACACCAGAAGATACTAATCAGACGCACCTTTTTTCAATAGGAACGTCTTTGAAGTAATCAATTAATGATTCGAGAAGCGGTTTGTAGGTGGTGTCCCTTTCAGGTTGGCCCTAAATAAATAATATTAAGATTTTTCTTTTTTTTTTAAAAAAAAAAGTAAAATAGCATGTTGTAACTATAATATTAACGAGCCCATTCCTTACTTCTAACGACCATTCTCTTAGAAATTGTTTAATTGTGCTTCTCAACTTATCCATATCAAATTCCGTAACTTGGGAAGCCGTTGATTCTTTATTATAATCATTTAAACTAGAATTGGGGTCATCCTAACTCACAAATAGATCAAAGTATGAGCGTCGATAAGGTGATAGACGAAATTTAAGAAATTCGAGTCAATACTTTTTCTTCTCCTACAAAAAGCCTTCCGTCAGCAAGAATTTGCTTTAGGACCTGGTAATTTTTCGAAATTGCTTTGTCTACAATATTCAGCTTTTCCAAGTACTCCGGTATCAGCGCCTTATGACGTTCTGGCAACGAGTGGTAGTCGACTCTGCGACGATTGTTCGTGGATAAGGCGTGCTTCTTGTATAAAGCAAAGGTGTTGAGTACTTTGCGAAAGTGCTTAAATCGATAAATGAAAAAGTCAATTAACAAAGGTTTTCTTGACCTGTTATAAATAATATGAATGCAACAAGATAAAATGGTCTTGTTTATACCGTCGAACCTTGGCTTCTTGCTCGACGGCTTCTCTATCCATATTGTCGGGATCGTTGATAAACATTTTGTTCGCATTCACGTTTGGAAAAACTTTTGTATAAAAAGACGACTTATTCAATGTGCAACACGAGATCGATCACATAGTCACGAGATTAAAAAACGAGAACAGTTGTTTTTTTGAAGTTGGTAAATTTTATTTTTGATTGCTTTAAAATATCCAGGACTCAGCACCTCCCTGGTTCTACAATATTTCTTTTATTTCTTTGCCAAATTACCTCTGAATAAAACCTTTGAGAGGAAAAAAATAAGGCTTTTCTTATAAAAGACATAAAATGAAGCAATTTTTCCTTAAATAAAATTTTTTTATCTCTATATCATAAAGTCTAATGGAAATGAACAAATTATCATAAATGTTCTTTCTTTTCCCGGAAAATTCATCTAACTTTCCCAAATTGAATGCTGACAAACATAAAAATTTCTGTTTTATTGTTTAGTTACACGTTAAAGGGAAAGAAAAAGAAAAAGGAAAGAATTTTCAAAGAAAGAAAAAAAGAAAAAACAAAATGGGTTGGTTAAAAAATTTCAGTTAATCCCTTGCCAAGGTGTCGTTGATCAAGGTAACACTTATTGTCGATTTTTGGAAAGACATACTTTTTATTTAAATTTTTTTTTTTTTTTTTTTTTTTTTTTTTTTTTTTTTTTTTTTTAAAATTATTAAAAACCAATAATGTAACTCCCCAATAACAGGAACACCAAGAATCCCGAAAAAGGACCCCCCCCATTTCCAAAAACGAAGAGAGGATCGAGGGGTAATTGTTGTGTTGGGCAAAGATCAGATAACCAGGAAGCGTTCTTTTTTTTAAAAAAGGAAAAAAAAAGATACTAAACGCGAACGCCTTCAATGAAATTTTAAGCAAACAAAAAAAAGAAATTATTTTAAAGGGTGATGCAAAGGAAACTGACCAGCAATTTGCTATAAAAATGGGAAATATATTACAGCGTCATGCAAAAGAGCACGACGGGGTGAAGAGTAAAGGAAAGTATTAAGTGAGAAATGGGAAAGAGGAATAAGTACTTTTGGAAGGTTCGGTTTTTGTGTGAAATTTTGTTTTTTTTTTTTTTGTTGTGGATTAAGGGGATAATAGTTACGACGTTGGGAAAAGCAACGAGCCCATCGTCTCCCTTTTCTGATTTTCACAATGAATATATGCCAGCATCCTGGTCATAAAAAAATAACAGATCGGTCGCTACATTCACTTTGGTCGGTTGTCCCATTGTGAAATATTTTAAGAAAATATTGGAATGTTGGTAGAACGTGTATTAATTAGAAAAGGGATAAGGGATTTTTCGTGAAAAAGACGTACCTGCCGTCCATCTTTTTTTTCTTTTCTTTTTCTTTTTTTTTTTTGAATAAAAAAAAGAAAAAAAAAAGAAAAAAAAAATGTTTCAGAATTAAACAAAAAAAAAAAAAAAAGTGTATGTATAACCCAAGGCTTGAATACTATTAGATAGACGTCAATCAGTAACTCCCCACCACCTTCTGATGATGGTTCCTGCAGTTCCGATCTTGGTTATGAAGAAGGTATAGTTGGCGATTGCTATACTTATGAAAGTCCCGATCATATCCCATCTACCTGTACCGATGGACTTGCGGTTTACACCACCGAGCATTCAAATTACCCGATTTTTAGCTTACACCCTGCCGCGTACCTCGAAGGAAGCGCTGGCAATGGAATAATCGTTTAATACTTTCCTTCCGAATTTCAAAATTGTGGGGGGTTTTTCTTTTTCCTTGTATTCTTTTTTTCTTCTAATTTTTGGTGTATCTACGTGCGGGAACTGATTGAGCGAATTTTATTATATATACAC